TACAATGCTCCTTCAAAATTGTTCACTAGAATTTTTTTCCAGCATATGTTTAGAGAAAAAAAAAAAAAGGCAGCAGTAAGTAATCCTCAGTAAGGCCTGACAAAAAGCATTGCCAAGAGATGCACAGACACCTTTTAGGCCATTTACTCACGCTCACTTTTTGCGGTGAGAGATGTAAGTGACAATGGTATTGAGCTACAAGATTTTCGATACATGGCAGCAGTTCAGGTTTTCACTTTAGTTCATGCAGAGCATCTCACTTTATGATGATTAAGCCAGTATTCTTCAGGGTTCAAGAACAAAAAGCATGAATATGACAGAAGTTAAAGAGGGGACTAAGACAAACATGCAGGATGTATGCTCTAGCTAACCTATCGTTCTTCAAGCTTTGCCTATCTGGCTGGAAATTTGAATACTAGAAAATGCACTTTAGTCTATTCAAAACAGAGACAAAAACAAAACAGAAACAGAGTCTTATATTAGGTCCCCACAAAAACCTGCAGCTTCTGACACTGCAATCATTGCTTTATCCTTTGAAAAATTCTGGTTGGCTTAAAAGTCCAAACTGTGAATCTTAATGGAGGCCTTTCACAAGAAATTTGATTGGCAGCAACTTAGCACTGAATGCTTTGATAGTGTTTAAGAATCTCAAAGAATGTAGATGAATCATTAGAGCCAAGCTGAAATAGTGGTCAAAGATTTACACAGCACAGAGCAATCTGAACAAATGTATTAGCTGCCAACAACAACAACAAAAAGTATTCCTTAGAACACTAGTATTCCTAGACAAAATGAATAATCAGGAACAAGCTAGAAAAAATTCAGCAGACAGTTAAGGGAAAACATTCATTTATATAAATAAAATGTAAGTGTTTGTTGCCTGCTGGGCAAACTTGCTAGGAGCACTGGCTGGCATGACTGATAAGGCTGAAAAATGAAAACTGGCCTCCCACTTCAGTGTCCTTGTAAACACCAAAAAGTAAGAGAAAAGTAGGAGTTGTCCACTTTGTTCCTACTTCAGGCTAAAAACTTCCATTGACTTCAATGCGTTTTGGATCAGGTCCTAAACAGGAGGTTCCTTATATGTCAATGGTGTGAGCCCCAGAGCTCTCTGGGAATGACATTCCAATGCAGAAAGAACAATCAGACTGCTCCTAAAGTAAACAGTGTCTTTAAGGTGACAATAATTTGCACTATTCTATTTCGTAACAAAATATAGTGCCTGAATGGCTCCTTAGTATGGAGCCAGGTATGTGCTTAGATCTTTTGCTTGCAGTTTGAAGTGTACTGGTTAAGTCAGCTATTCCAAACGGTAGGCCATCTTAAAGGAATTCTAGAAGGATAGCCAAAGCTGAGGTACGCCGGCAACCTTGCCCATATCCTGAACCATAGATTATTGATTGTGTTTATTATCTGTACAAGTACCTCTTCTCATTAAAAGAACTCAAGTTTAGCCCATTTGGATCCTAGTGATAGGTTTGGCCTGGGGAGAGATACTCCCTGTATAAACAGGAAAACAGGTTTGCTTGTGGACATGCTGATCAGATCCAAAAAAACCACCACAGCCTTCTCAACCAGTACAGTGCTATCAGTAACACCTGAGCTGTCTTTCTTGATCCCCTTTGTTAGCATGGACATTCACTTCAAAAAGCAGGGAAGGAATCATATCTATATATAAAAAATACCTACCAATTCTAAGGCAGACGTGACTGTCAGTTTTATAGCAACATTAAATGTCAAGCTTAAAACAGAAACCCAGTTCCAACCTGAACTGTGGAATGCGTGTTCCTACAATGCTAAAACAATTAAGTTTACATACAAATCATCTAGAGGTGCAAGAGAAAGTAAGACATAGTACTAAAACACTAGTCCTGCCAGAAATATGAGTAACCAGATTCAGACTGCCCATGGTCACAGTATCCACCTATCGCACTGTTAGTATAAGCCATTAAAAAATAGTAATAGAGATACCCTAACCTGGGGCAAGGGGGGGGAGAAAGAGAGAAAGAGCGTTTAGTACATTTACAATTACTTTGCCAAAATCATTATGACTTTATCCAAAAAGCTATAATGCTTCAAAGCAAGAAGCTGCCAAAATATTTTTCAAACCAAAATGATATGAACATAAGTTCCAAACACCTTCCCAACAAGTAGAAGTTTACCTTTTCAAGAAGGGAGGGAAGAGTATGTTAGTCTCTGCACCCAGGACAGATAAAAAGCATCCACTGAAGTTTTTAGACCTATCACAGAACTAGGGCAGTTTGGAATTACTCCCGAAGACAAGACAGATCTAGAGACAGATGAAGCCATGGGCACAAGAGGACTTCAAGATACAATGTAATAGGGTCTTCCCAAACTGAGGACACACATCTGGCATAGACATTTTGCCTACCAGATGTTACTCTTTCAGGGAAGCACTTATCTTCCTCCGCTACATTTATTGTTACATCGCCATCTCAGTACCAGAACAACTTTACTAGAATGTCCCTTCACTGTATGAATTCCTTGAAAGAGAGTTTTCTGGATTGCCGCTGTCTCAAGCAGATTGATGTGCATCTGTATTTTAAAGCACGGCCTCTCTGCCATAGGCCTGCAAGCACCCCAACTAAGCCTTTCAACCCCAGAAAATGGAACCAATGACCAATGGAATTCTAGAAGGAAAATCCTGTGCCTTCAGAAGGTGGAACTCCTGACCCAAAAATCTCCTTCTTGACCCCAGACTTTTCCCCATATTTCAGTCTGACAACCAAGGTGTAAACTGCACCTTATGGAACGGGTCTCCTCGGCCACGCATTAGAGCAAAAACTCAAGTTAGGCTTAAGGTCAGTTTTAAAGACTTTTCACAACATGTTTTCAAGCTTTTCTATTGTTCTCTCACAGTATCTTAAAACTAATAGCCCTTGTCTGGGCAGGTGACTAAAATTTTCCCAGTGATTCTCCCAGAGTCAGGCATTTTTTTCCCCAGACACCATATACCAAAAGTACTACTGTAGAACCCAAAAAATGGCTTGTTATCAAACTCTTTCTCCATTCACTTTGGTGACTAATTCAGGTTTCCCAACACTGCCACTTGTTTCTCAACTAGAGGACCATTTGTCAAAACCATCACAGCCCTGTAAGGAAGGAAATACTTTCCTTTCTAACAGGTGAAGAGTCAGACACTAGTACATGATGTCTGATACAAAGAACAATCCTTTACCAGTGTGACTTTTCTTCAGTCCAGTTACTTCCCCCGTTCTTCCCCCTGCATCAGTTCAGAATCAGTTTTTGCTGCCTTCACTAGGTCAGGTGGTATACTGGCTAAGACCCACAAAACTGATGGAGTAAAATACCCAAGAACATTTCTGAAGCTAGAGATTGAAACAGTAGCTTTGATTTCCAGCAAATGATCCACTTTGGCTTGATTTTATTGAAGGTAGTGGGTTTTGTTTTTTAGTGAGTTTCTCAAACAGAAGTTTAAGTCTACTGGCTGAAGAGTAATTGACTTAGTGGTCAATTACCATTGGTGCAGGTGCCAGTTACTCAAGTAGTAACTCAATATTTATCTGCCCAGAATGGCAGGTTTGATCCATCTTGTGTGAAGGATCTTCAGTTACGAGTTTGAAGCTGCCAACTGATTTTGTGGGCACTCTTAGAACTATTTGCACTAAATCGACACAAAGCGACTGGAGAGGACCATGGAGGCTTTTTAAGAAATTATGTCAAGACTCTTATTGCCAGGCTGAGATCTGAAGTTAGAGGCACAAAGTGGCAACACGAGTTATTTACCTGTTTATTTTAAGAAGACAAACATATTTTGCAACAAGCCTTATGGTTGACCATACAGCTGGTTTCCTTCAATGCCTATGGTAGTGACAAGTTTCAAATGCAGATTTAGGATTCCTAAGTATTAATGAACCAGATTTAGTTACCCATATGATTGCAGCTACTAATCAGCTCATATTTTCACTAAAATTCTCCATAGGCCTCCTCACCCACCAAACGACAAGTCTTGTGTGGTAGACAAAAAGATTAAAACTAAACCTTTCCAAAAGAAAATCAAGCTGCATTATTAGAGTACAAAGTTAAAAAGAAGGTCTTGTCTCAAACAGATGTCACTAAGTAAATCCATCCAAGCCCATTTTCTTAGTGACATTGTTTGCAATGCAAACATCCACAGTAAATGAGTTCTGATCCAGTGCCTAAGTAAAGCCCTCCATCTATTTTTTTTAAACTATTCTGAAACAAAAAGAAAATTAAAATATTAAATTCACCCACCAAATTTAGCACTGTAATGATATTTTGAAAGGAAAAAAAAACTTGGTGTAATTGTTTGTCAGCAGCTTGGGATACCATTTTAGCCTTTTAGGCCTTAAACTCATTTTTTCCCGAAACATGCAAACAAGTTGCTATGCTGATCATGCCATCTACAGCTGGACGTAATTTTCTGCAGTTTTGGAAGATTTAAATGTCCAATAGCAGCATCAAATATACCTTTGAGAGAGAATCAGACCTGTGTGTGGATGCAGCAAACAACTTGTTAAAGTCAGCACTGGGATGTCTGAAGTATTTCATATACTTGTGTCAAGAGCAGATTCCAACTATTGTGTTGGGCCAGATGACTCAAGATTCAGCTATGGACAGAGGTTTTACAAGGGGCTGACTAATGACTCTCAGAAGTTCCTATTCCCAATAGGTCTGCTCCAATAGTTCCCATTCAGTTCTCCTGCCGTCACCTGTCTCTGGGTAGGGACTCTTATTCCAGTCCCTTCTGGGTGCTGGGGGAGGTGGTGGGGTTTTAAGGCTGCAGAGCTCCCTCCCATATACTGAACTATCCCCAGCAAGCAAGTTTGCCTAAAGGCCAGAGCCTGTGCTTTGCTTTCTCTCCAAGGGGTATGAACAGTGTATTGCCAGCAGTTACGAGTTACTACACAGCTTTTTCTAAGCAAGTACACTTATTCTTAAGGTAAAAGCATTACAGAGAAAAACAATACGTTTCTATACACATGCTGAAAGCTTACCAGGGATCATCCATGAGTCTTATGGGGCCCTAGTAGGTCAAGTCCTTCCATCCTTTCTGCAAGGATTGCCTTCCCCACCTTGGAGAGAAATCCATTTTCTGGATCAGGAAAAAGGCCCCAAGTCAGTTTAAATGCAGCATTTTTAGAACAAATTCCCTTTCTTTGCCTTTTTAGTCTCTGGAAACCCAGTATGAACCAGTATGTGCCAACCACCCTAGGGGAAGGTACCGCTCTGGAGGTGTTTACAATGTGAGTGATTCACTTTAATTAAGGCTACGTTTCAGTCACGAGTATTTTTAGTAAAAGTCATGGACAGGTCACGGGAAGTAATCAAAGTTTACGGCCCATGACCTGTCCATGACTTTTAATGTATACCCCTAACTAAAACTTGGGCCGTGGGGGGGGGGGGAAGGGTGGTCCCAGGACCCCCGCTGGTGCGTGGGGGGGGGGGGAGGGGAGAGGGTTGGTGGCAGCATGCAGCCCGGGACCCCCACTGGTGCTGGACATGGGGAGCAGGAGCAGTGCATGGCCCGGGATCCCCCTCTTGGCTCTGTGTGTCCCTGCAGCTCCTATGGGGAGAGGCAGCCAGTGGCTCCACGTGCTGCTCCCACCACAAGCACCAGCTCTGCAGCTGCCATTGGCCAGGAACCACAGCCAATGGGAACTGCAGAGGCAGCACCCGCAGGCATGGGCAGTGCACAAAACCCCTTGGTCCCTCCACCTAGGAGCTGTAGGGATATGCCGGTGGGGGAGCCAGGGAGCCCCACCCCAGGTAAGTGCCACCCCGCACCGCAACCATCTGACCCAGCCCTGAGCCCCCTCCCACACACCCAAACTGCTACCACCCCAGGGGCTGCCAGGAAGCCCCTGAGCCAGCACCGGCCACAGCAGAAGTCACGGAATCCGTGATTTCCGTGACAGACATGCAGACTTAACTTTAATCACTATTTTAGTTTCTGAAGGAGCTTTGGTAGCCATCCCCTCTGGAATAGAACACAATCATACATCCAATCCATGGCCCAAAGTAATATTGTCTAAAATTTATATATGTTTCCCCAAAGATACTGCATACCATTGCAGTATCTGCCAGAGAGCATTCTTCAGATAAATGAAGCCGAGCATTGTGGAAGTAGTTTCAGGGAAAGTTCCCTATGAGCAACAATGGAGGCAGGCACTAGTTACTTACTGGGGAGAATAACTCAGAGGCAGAAGGGCTAGATTAGTGGAAACACAAGCCTCCCTCACAGAAGGATGCTCTAGTGTGAGATGAGAACACACAAAGACCTTGACTTTTCCATCAGTTAGGATGTTCTACAGGAAATGAGGGTGAAAGAAAGGTGTTTGATAAATTTGAAACATATTAGCTGTAGGTTATGGAAGAGGGAATACCCAAAGAGGCCAGAGAGAACATCTTCACAGGTATCTCAGCAGTGTGAATGGCCTAGTATGCAGGTAAGATAGTAGCTTCTTGTCAGACCCCTTCCATCAATCTCCCTTCTGGTTGTAATAAGAGGAGGCCCTGAGACATAAAACCTTGGTATCAGAGGCCCAGTATGAGGCCTGAACTGAAGTAATGATCAAGACATTGCTAATATAAAGCAAAGGTAGGCTGTGAACCAGACGCAGGCCCTGCTCACGGAAGTTGGCTAGAGCATGTAAGCACTAATAAGATGAACATATGCCAGGATGGCACCCACACAGATAACAAGGAACAGGCAGACCCAGCCTAAAGACAGTATAGAAAGGACAATATGATGGATAGGTAAATGAAAGAACAATACAATGGATAGCTGATGAATAGACAATATGATGAATACAGTATGATGGATAGACTTATTTGTTCAAACCTATCAGCATCATGAGAAAGGTAACACGCTAATGCATAGAGGAGCTGTACCTCAGTGCGTTCAATGATGCGAAGCCTGTTTGTACCTGTATATAAGAATGCATCCCTGAGTGGACATCTTTATCTGGCCTAGGGGGCAATGGCCAATTCCACCACTGACTGAGCCGGTCCATTGTCAGGGGGCAAATATTCATATAAGGTCCTGTAGAGTCTGCGGGAAACTATTACTGTGCTTTGTCTGACAATAAACCTGACACCGTTGTGGTGCTCTGCTCTATTCAATGATGATAGCAGTCGGCTGCATGTATGTGTGTTCTCCCTGTGTGCTGTCCCAGCTCTACACAGATAGCTGACACTCAGATCTCGAGCAAACCGTCCAATGACCACAGACTCTAATAAGGTACGAAGGCACCTGGCATACCGGGTATCTGATACCAAGGGTTTATGTCTCAGGGCCTCATCTTACTACACTGGTCATTAGGTACATTTGGTATATGAACTGAAAGTTTTATCCCTCAACTACTAGCCTAATGACTAAGCCTTTTATAATGGGAGGAACCAGATGAGTGTGGCATAGAGTCAGCAATGTCTGATTTAAGCCAGTTGAAGATTCCCTACAGGAGAAATCCTCAACTGCCCAGCTAAGACAGCTTTAAGACCCCACTAGTTAGTGAAAAGTTTGATTATTTTTTTAACTCTGCCCATGCTGTTCCACAAAAATAAGTAGTCTTGCTTCTAGAAAAAAAGTTCATTTTCCAACAAGCCACTAGCAGCATTTATACAGCTACAAAACAACAAGACAGAAACAAGAATTCTTAAAAGTCACAATGTGGTTCTCCAAGAAGCAACCTACAAGGTTCTCTAGGGAGTATAGTTTCATTTTGTTTAACATCAGGAGCAAAAGAACATGCTGCAAGGTCTAAACAGGTCAGTGGATGTTTCTTGACTTTGTCATTAAATGGCTTCAAATGCCACAAAAAGCTGTCTCTGGTCCATCAATTTAAATTAATAGTTTTCACACACAAATATCAGCTACAGTCTTACATTTTTCTTTTAAATTTAAGTTTGTTATTTCAATTGGACAATGAAAACTGAAAAAAGAATCAAGCTAGAAAAGGGAATACATAATTTAAAACCATTTGTTAAGTATTCAACCAGCAGAGTTCTTTTGAATTTCTGCAAAAACTTTTTCCACAGTACTTAAAATGTTTGTTGGGATTCATTCTGTTCTTTCTAGTTCAATAGGCAAACAGATTTGCAATCTGAGGAGGCTGAATAGTACAAACAAAGGGTCTGGCATTAAATTGAATATTGCATTTTAAAAAGGGACAACTTGAACACAGACACACAACTGAAAAACATTTCTGATAACTGGAAAGAGTTTGCAGGTTTTTCCCCCCTAGTTTACTTTGTGCATTGGAAAGCACTGTGAGAAAAGGGCCTTATGAACATCAAGAGTGGATCAGATTTTTTTTTTTAAAAGAGGAATTTAAATAGTATGTCTGAAGTCTTTAAAGGCTTTAGCAAAAACTGGACTTTAATATACTAAAATCTAACTAGCTGTTAGGGGAAGTTTGATTAATTTATTAACAAAACAGAAATCTAGGTTGATATATAAGAAAAAATATTAAAAAGTTACGGTATCTTTTATCCTGAGAGGTTCAAGAGTGCTTTAAAATGTATTTCTATGGCAGTAATCCCTAGAAGTCTCAGTCATGGACCAGGGCCTCACTGAGGTAGGCAATGAACAAAGAATGAAAGACAGTCCTTAAAAACTTTTGATTTGTAAAAATCTTTACGACAACAAGAGAAAACATGGATACAGACAGAGGGAGCACAATGAAACCGCGTAACTGTATTGGTCAGCATAATGGCAGTCATCTCAACAAATCAGCTGAGAAGTATTTTGCAGGCATCAGACCAAAGGAGAGTAAATGAATTTTAACCACATCTCTTCCGCTTAAAATAGAATCCAGACAGTTCAGCTAAAAGTTCAGCTTACTCACTGTTACCAATGTAGAAGTTTATATAGCATCTAAATACAGTGTTTAAGTCCCTGATCCTGCAATGATTTCTCCACAGGTGGACACATCCACTGGCACATATCTCAATGACTTCAAGCTCTACATGGGGCAAGCACACATCCATCTGGAGTAGCTTGCAGGATCAGGGATTAACACAGCAAATTAATCTAAACACTGTTTAATATAATTGACTAGGTAATTCAATAAATTTTTTCTATTTTTTATGCAGAATAGGATACTACGAGAATGACCTATCAAAATTTATCTTTAGGATGTTACAAACCACCATATTTTAATAAATTTATACACTAAATACAGTCTACATCTGAAACTTGTATATTTCAAATTGTACGCAAGAATATTCTAGCCCCAACTGCTAGTCAAAGTATTTCACTACCACTTAAATCTTGTTACATTTGCTACTATTACTTATTCTAAAAGGCTTTGATTAAAAGAGATGAAGAAGCAATATAAAAATTTGAGTTGATTGTTGCATGGAATCTCTGCAGATTCTATCATTCATCATTTAATATACAAACACTAAGGTTCCAGAACTCAGCGTCACACTTGAAAAAAAGCGCTATTATTTATGAAGCAAGATATTTTTTGGGGGTAGGGGCGAAGAGTGTTCATTAGGATCCAATTCTCTTTCATTTTCATGTTTTCTAAGTGGATTTTTCTGTTGTTGTGACTGACAATGGGACTATAAGATCAAGAGTACATTATGTAACAAGTTAGTGGAAGAGGTTAAATCATGGATTATTGGTCATTATAGCAAGAGATGCAGCAAACACTGTAGTTGAGAATTTGCATGAGAATTTCCATCCTAAACACATTCATAGTTGCTATTTGCTTTCCAAAGTGATCATCGTGGAGGTCAAGATTTTCTAGGTTTCATCTCTGCTCCGAGATTTTTTTTTTAATTTGAACAAAAACTTCTCAGCTGTTTATATACAATATTAGTGGCAGAATAAGGGAGAGAGAAAAATCCAATTAGACATTCCCATTATAAAGACAATTAAGACTTTTGAAAGAGCTCTACAGCTGAAGCAGCCATGGATAGTAAGCTAAGCTCGATATAGAAATAGCCCTGGTTGATAAAGTGTCTGTGTTCCAGCAAAAATTGGTTTTGACCTTTGAAAGTCATCTATACAGCTCAGTTTGCGCAACTACTTTGAGAAGCTTCTGAAGTGTGCACCTAGGAAAGGCTGTTCTGTGCTGTATGGAT